TCTTAGCACATCATATCTCTTCTATCTGCAGAACATTTTTCTCCACACAGTGGAAAATATGTCCACCTACAGCTCAGGAGTTAAACTTTACATCCTCTGCCATCTGTCAAAGATTTCTCTCATCTAAACTCTGAAGTCAGCTTCACTGGTTCAAGCTGGCCAAGCAGCCATTCTCAAGGTCAACCAGATAGCAAGAAAATGAAAGAGCCTGGGTGTTCCCACAGTCATCATAGCAAAAAGAGATGGGGTACCGGGTACATCTGATATGGTGCTGTGACTTCCACTACTTTCAACCAAGATCCAGATTTCCAGGGTTTTTTAAAATTTATTTTTTGGTTTGTTTGTTTTTGTGTTTTGTTTCGTTTTGTTTTGTTTTGTTTTAGGCTAGCCTTGAACTCATTGTGCAGCCTAGGCTGACCTGAAACTCATAGCGATCCCCCTGCCTCAGCCTTCCACATGCTGGGATTACAGGTAGGCACCACCATCCCTGGCTTGCAAATTTCCAGTTCTTAAAGCATCTTCCTCATCTTACACTGGCATCTCTTGAAGCTCATCCCCATGTCTTTCTGGCTCCCTGGTTCAGTTGTACACATGGGCATGTGTGCCTGATATACCAGCACACAGAAACCAGCAGCCACAAGCAGAGCTCACCAGGCAACAAGCACCATAGGAAATCCTCCCAGCCCCCCAGAAGGTCGGCAACCAGGAAGGCCAGCTGTTCTTGACTGTTTCACAAGCCTTCGAGACCCCCCAAACTGAGGAGACTATGTTCAGCCATTTGTACTTTAGAAGGCTGAGAAGGTGCCCAGTAGCAGGCTCCAGGATGCCCCCTCTTGCCTCCCTTGAGTCCCCAGCGTGGAGAGCTCGTGCTGGTGGCACAAGTCCACTTCACCCGGGAAGGGTGCATTAACAGCTGAAATGGTCGTTAAATTACTGTGTGCCCATTAAAATTCTGGCTGCAGCTACAGAGGAGCACTTATCAGAGGCAAAGCCCCTAGAAATGCCATCCATCTCAATAGAGAGCTGCTGAGACAGAACAAAAAGGCAGGGGCGCCTGGGTAGGAGTGGGCACAAGGCTACCCACTGCCTCCCACCCAGCACCCACAGCACTGGGCCCAGCCAGGAAAGCGCAGAGCAACCCCACAACACACCAGGCGGCTGCGTCCAGGGACCTGGTGTGTGCTAGGCACTGTGCCAAGAGCTCCACAGTTGTTGCTCTGCGATGCTGCAAGGGAAAAATTATCTCCCTGCCTCCCCTCCCAGCCACCACTGCCTGAAATCTGCTCAAGGACGCATGTGAAGCAAGGCGCAGAACCAAGATGCAAACACAGCCCTATCTGACTGCTTGGTCTGTCATTATAAGCACTCTACACTGTTCTGGAACCTTTTCCAGAGCTGAGGGACCCCCTGGTCCTTCTGCATCTGTGCTTAGCAATCTTCTCATAGGCTAACACACAGAGCAACGGCCTATCTATTCCTGACAAGAGATTTTCTAAAAGAAAAGAAAGAAAAACACACCCACATTGCAGAAAATTATGTATCCCCCTAGGTACCTAGCCACTGGTAAAGGTAATTTAACAAGATAAATCCCACAGCTCCACAACTGTGGGCCCCACCCCTTCTCCAACCCCTGCGCCCTCCGTGTTACACAGATGCTGCACTTATCCGTATGTGACAGGTTAGTTAGACAAATGTGCTGGGAGTAGGTAGGGAGTAGGTAAGAATAATTAGCACATTCATTAATTAGAGTACTGTTAGTAGTTTGACTGTGAAGGACAACCATTTGTCAACAGAGATCAGGACATCTGGGGCCAAGTGGTGACTCAGAGGGGCAGCAAGCCAGGGACCACAGTGGCACTGACCAGCTGCTATTTAAAAACACGGGGCTCCACATACACTTAGCATCCTTGCACCTCCATCACCATGGCAACATGGGGCCATGATGCCAGGCTGTCACGTAGCAACAGCCATGCATCCTTCTTCCTCACCTCAGGATGCACATTGCCATCTCTTGCCATCTCTTCCTTTCCCTTCCCATTCAAGGTTGCTCCTGGGTTCAGCCGGGCCAGGATTTATCTGTATACAAAGATGAGGACACAGGAGATGGGGGTCAGCATTATATGAGACTTAGAGATATAGCCTGGGTCTGCAGGTGTGAATTATAGGTGGGTACACAAGTTTCTTATCATGTCAGTTGATCTGAAGGGTATTAAAGCCAATATTAATGTGCAAGGTAAATGAAGTGAAGAGAGACCAGACAAGGTTTTTCCAATATGTCACACACTGGTAGTCTTCAAGAGACCCACGTCAGCCTTACCTGAAGTGTCATTTCTGCATCCTTGGCCACAACCAGACAGCCTTTCCTTCAACAAAGAGCCCATAGTTCTGAATTGAATTGAACTGAATTCAGGTGAATCATCATGCCATTGTATAGATGAACAAACTGAGAGGTAGTGAGTTTGCTATAACTTGAAATGCTATGGACTAAATTTCATGCATGCTCAGAAGACTAATGCAGATGATTTATAGATCAAAGTGATGTTTACAGATATGACTACTCTTCTGTAGTGTCTCAAGTTATAAGCTGACCACATCAGTATGGAGCAGACAAATAGGAGTACAAGCCCATGGACATTCA